TCTCTCGATAAATAATAGTAAAATTTCGCGCGGAAGAAACGCATAAAAGATATCTTACAGCGATGAAGATGTCTAGTACGTGTTTTTTTACGAGGTAATTTTCCAACTCTTTTCGCTGACTCGTTAAGTTCAAACATTAAAGTGATCCTTCCGAACGTCTCATCTTTCTACATGCATGCTCAGCATCCGTGATCTTACGGCGGGCGACGAGTAACGTAAGAATATCCGTGCGAGGTTTATCTCTTCATCTGTTTATCTGTTTGTATACTATAGCATATCTTTATGTGGGATGTGCATTTTTCGCGATGTAAGAATTTGTAAGAACCTGAATGTGACAATTGTCCTATTGGATGCACCGATTTCCAGCCTCTCGTCGGTTTTGCGAGATAAGTAGGTCAGAAATGAGTGAGAAAACTATTACGAGACACAATGGCGGTATGTCATTCATACAAATATAGCGAGTGAAAAACATATTATCGTAATTGTCGTTTGTTCGTTCTACAAGAACACATTTACAGTAAGCCAGAAGTTATTTTTAGATTCTCGATTTGCAACACCAAAGTTTCTGCTTCGAAAGGACTTTCTTCCCATAATTTAAATAATTCTAATTTCTTAATTTACATAATTATCTAATCTACTCGTTAAAGCAAATGTTAGACGACTTGGCGTTCCATTTATCTTGCTCCACAAAATGGCAGTGGTTGATCTATAAAATCGCGAATATCGTTATAAAAATTCGCCGATATTTCGTATTAAACTCTGACCTTTCCTCGATGCGAATGTGTAATTTACAGCGTAAATGCGAGCGACTAAAGTGCCGGTAGTTCGATTTTAATGCGCAATGACCCGTCGTAACTCATATTCGTGGCGAGCGGGACGACAAGCGCGTATTCGATAAGGAATTTCAAGCGGCGCCGCCGATTCCACATAAATTTGCATACACTTTCAATTATCTCGCTCGCCATTAGGAGCAGCCAGCGTAAATGGTCGTATTACGCGATTAAACGTGTCGCCATGTGTAACCTTTCTATCGTCTCGCCAGAGAGGCGCGTGATACCGTCGTCTCCTCTGGACTATAATAATGCGTGGATCGTGTCCGCAGGACACCGCTTTGCAATCTAGACCTTCTCCTTTTTCGTTTATCCATCCCTGTTGACCGCGTGAAAATTATAACGCGATCCGAGATATAATTCAATGTTTTATCATAATTAATTTCTTCACGATTGTAAAGACTGGCTTTCGAAAAAGAAAGATAAATTTAAGATTGATGTTCCTGCTCTGTCCATTTAAAGCTATCATGATGAATGGATAAAAAATTATTATTTATGGACAAATTGTAGGCAATTGAATTTCATATATAATTAAGGAAAAAATACCTATGGTGTTCATAATGAAATCTGTCCTAATTTTTTGTTTATAATTTTTTTTTCGCTGAATAATCAAAAAATAATGATTTATGGACAAATGTGAATAATTAAGTGCGATACTAATTTTGTCAAAATTCTTAGATAAGAATGCCAATTTCGTAGATCTCAGGTCCTCGGAAGCTCGTGCAAACCGCGGAGGAAGCATGTCGGACGCCGTCAATCTTAATTATTCGCATAATACGGTATGCGCGGGCAGTCACGACGGTAATGGACATGAGTTTACGAGCGCGCTCGCTCGAGTCGCTTCGACTAATTATCGGACCGCGCGATGAATAGCGCATTGAGGAAAACGTTGAGCACGGTAACGAGCGCCGATCCCATTTCTTAGAGCGGCGTTGGAGAATTTGGAATATTAATTACGGTTTATATGCGAGATGCGTTAAGGGTATACGAGCGACGTTTATCTGCATCCGCGATATCGCCTATGCAGACGAACGATTTCTATTACGACACGTACGAAAGATCTTAACGAGCTAAAGAAACACACGTGTGCGCTCTCTCTCTCTTTCTCTCTCTCTCTCTCTCTCTTTCTCTCGCAAGTGCAACGAGAGTGTATTTCCCTTCCCAACATAAGAACTTCGCGCTCCGAATCATTTCTAGCGATATTATTTTTGAGCGTTCTTCCTCGCCTTATTTTTCTTTCGCGCCTCTCTTCCTCTTTCTACTTTCTCCCCCCTCGCTCTCGGACACGACGTTAAAAGCTCGTTTGCATCGAGCCGTGCGAAATACTCGGAGCTACGAGCTACGGGTTCTGCAAGCGCGGGGGATGTGCGTCAGAGCGTCGGGTCGAAGTTAGTCGGGGGAGCCATTAGCTTAAAACTATTAGTCGACCGTGGGGTAAAGGCGAGAGAGAAAGGGAGAGGAAAAACGAGCTTTAAAAGTCGTCCCGCTTATACGATTATGAGGATGGTCGGTCGGGTTGCTGTGTGTTAAACGCGGCATCCAATGTATGTGGGTGTACGACGGCGGTCTCCTCTTACTCTCCCGAAAGGCCCCCGTACGTGATATCCATTTTAAACCGGACCACTCAATTACGCTCGGTGCTATCTTCGGTGTTTGCATATCAATATGGCCCCTTGCCAAGCAAAAACAAAAAGATTCGTCGCGCACAATCCGCCTGGATTATTTAAGAACTGCGTTCCTATGAACGCAGTTCCGATGGCGGAGAGACATAAATTGCCGAAGGATGCTGCGCGTTCGCCGTATAAAAATATCCACGATCATCGTAAATTCAGTAGCTATGAGCTGCGAGAAAGACACCAAAGTCGCGCGCCTTCGACGGGCCGTTCTTATGCTCCTCGCTGTATAAATCTCTGAGCACGCCGCATAACCGTGTAAATTTCACGTTTAATCGATATTAAGATGATCGTTTATTTCTAATATAAATTTAATGAACTAATAATAGCCTCTATATACTTGTGACATGTGATGCGGCCTCGTCGCCGTCGATGTCATGTGTACCACGGAAGCCCTGGGCATTTTAAAATTGTCCTCGCCCTCGTCCGGTATCGTTGTTACCTGCAACAAGATATAAATAATGATCAGTATCATCGATAACTAAAAACGAATCAATTTTTTTTATTTTAACTTCTAAGGAATTTTGGAGTAATTCACTTTATCTCCACTTTATCTCTTCGCTGAAGCTCTTACAATTAATATTTCTATTATGAAACTTTCTTTCCGCTGATAGGATACTTTCTCGCCCTTTCTCTTCCAGTCTGCTGACCAGAGAATCGTTAGCTGCCCTTTTGGGGGCGAGTGGACCGTCAATCTTTGTATTATCTTACCGACTTGGACGCAAGTCATCCAGGAAACAGCCGAGCAGCTTAAGAGACGGAAGCTGCTTCTGAGAGAGCTGTCATCTCGATTATCGCGTCAAGCTCATTGGACCGGAAGACAATAACAAAAAGATGAGCGATGCTCATAGTTTAGGGTGCATTAAATAGACAAAAGTGCGAGCGATATAAGTGCAATCGCGACGTTACGCGTGTTGTACTTCAACCGTTGAAGTTATTGCCTGTGTGTTTTACGAGCTGATCGTTCGACGATGATCGCAACGCGTGACCCACGCGTTGAGATATATCGATCAATTCGGTGAGAGAGACGTGTGGGAGTAAACGTGCGATAACCCGGGTTTATGCGTATCAGACGGCCGCTTTATCACGCTCGTTCGGATTTAACGATCGGCCCGTTATTGTTCGAGGACCTTCATCAATATGGACGTCGACCTTAATACCCGTGAGTTTCCTTTGGAGAACGCCCGAGGCGCTCGGCTTCCCCTAAAAAGCTCACCCTTAAAATTTCCTCGTTTTCATTAAAACGCAGCGAGACGCTCCACGTTAATTCCTTCTCTTACAGCTTTTACAAAATTTCTTACTAGACTTCTTACAAATTACGACGATTAATCAACACGGACGCGTACGCTGATAAATTAAATCACTCGCTAAATTCGATTATAATTCCAGAGTACAGTTCAATTACATGTCTAATTATAGGCTGCGTATGAATATATTACGCCCGTGAACGACGGCAGTCGTAATACGCTTGAGTAACCTTGAAACAGAAAATCTAGACTCGGCCGTCAAGTAGTCGTCGGATCAGGCAGCCGTAAAATGACTCTATCTAAATCATCGTCGAGCACTCTCCATTAAGATTGAATCTGTTAGCTCGTCGGTGTGCCCCCTTTCATTGTTTATTTATACGCACCTGACGGCGACAGGGATCCGATTCCTCCGATAGTTTAGACTTAGGGGCTGTCAGTGGTCACAGCACACGGCCTATTTATATTTAAGACGATTTGTATTTAAGACGACATTAGATATCCCGCGACACTCGAGGACTTTTCGATATCGCGCAATCGCGTGAGTTATACCAAGAGTCACGCCTTTCCGTTCACGCCTTTCGTGATTTACGATGAACTGGTTTTGCCTGACAAAATTTCGCGGGAGCCTGTTCTACGATAGCTGTGAAAAGACACATACCTATGCAAGTATAAGAGTTAAGCAGAGTTCTGTTTGCAGAAATATTGTTGAAGAAATTACTCTTAATATCGATACGATTGATCTTAAGTCCTTGAGATTTCTTTCAGATTTTCAGAAAAATAATTACGCTCCAAAAAATAATTACGCGCGAAAAATAATTATATTTAAAAATTATTATTTATACAAAGAATTTTTTTCTGATTTCTGTTGACATCTTTGTAAACTGCGAATATGTTTCAAATATCCTCTGACGAGCATATAATCATTTTACTTGGCGACGATGCGAGCTAATAGCGGAGTGCATCAACGAAAATCAATAAGGAAGCATAAGGCGACGGCGAATGGCACGGATGTTTTCCATTTAATGCGAATCTCTTGATTATTCATGCGAGTTACCGATCTCTCGGAGTTTGCGGTTTCTTTTTACGCGCTCGCCCGTTGAATCCCCGATTAGTCTACTTCACTTTGTCCTCCCCTTCCTTTTCCATCGCTCTTCTGCTCGCGTTATCTCTCTTTCTTCCTCTCTCTCTCTCTCTCTCTCTCTCTCCCCTGCTTTAGGCAGGCCTCGCCGGCGTGACGAATGAGTTAGCCGATTTTCAATAATCGACAAGACGGCAGATAAGTACCATAGAACCTACCAAATGCGATTTCTCACATTTCCTTCCTCCACCTAGATTCCACCCGTGGATTTATTTCCCCGAGTGTGCGGCGCTGTGGGCATCCCCGGCAAATCGTGTCGCAAAATCAATATCTCGAGATACGCTGGGGAATTCCATGAGGACGATCACGCCGGAATAGAGTTTGCAGATAGTTCGCGAACTGTGCGGTATGTAACACTAACTTCCGCTCCATTCGTATCGTCGTGAAAAAAACGTATCAAGGGAACGGGGAATAAGAATGGAAGAATGGTGGTTTTCTTTCGTATGGAAAATACGCTCGTGGGAACGCGCAAAAATGATTGTCGCGCCCAGCGAAATGTGAAACGCGAGATTTCTTTGTGCGAATAATAATTTTACGTAACAATAATGACAGTTATATGGTTTATATCATATTTTCGTTGTTACGTCTCGGAATGGTAATACAATATTCCATGGAATATCGGAATATCGATAAAAACACGTGCACGAGTCGCGAGCGTCCGCTCTGCAATTTATCTTGCCGAAGCGGAGCGGCGTAAAAACGTCGTTAAAACGCTTCGTACTATAAATTTCGTTTTGACCGCTCTTTTTCTTTGTAAATGTAGGACCAAAGATAACGAGAGTAAAACGGGCCTTTTTGCATCGCCACCGCTGCGCGGCTAATTGAACGGCGGGCGGAACGGAAAAAGCGCACCATCGGAGACACGAAAACGCCCTGTCGCGTTTCTGAATTTATAATTTAACGTCGATTGTGCGGCGCATTTGCCTCGCCTCGGAGGAAATTGTGTTCGATATTGATTAATTGAAATCGCGTTTGTTACGGTACGGAGACGGAAACCGCGGGCGGGATAATCCGGAAATTAATAAATCCCGCGCGTGAGCCTCGTGCGGAAGAGTGAATCGTACGGCAACACACCACATGTAGCCTAGAACGTTTATAGTCGCGAATAAATCGGCGCCTGGGAGGTTCGTACGGCGGATCTTCTACGGATAGTGCACGACGCTTAATAATAATTCCGTGCCGAGATTTAATAAGAGATGCCCCCGCTCTCTCGCACTTCGCCACGAAGAACGGCCGCGCCGCGAGCTAAAAGAGGGTTGGCCGCTGCCGTTTCGAAATCGCGTTCCATCGCGCGTTCGTTCGCGTCGTGGGTAGGAACCGAGGGGGAGGAAACGTAACTTAATTACTGATTTTTGCGATAAGACGGGAAGCTCCATGCCCCGACCGACAAGAAATAAATGGGGGAGGCCGAGGGCACGCGGGGCGATCTCTACCAACGAGGGGAAATGCACACAGAATCGGGCCGCATATAACCGCGCTATTAGAATTTTATCACTGTGCCAGGAACGAGCGGCGGAATAATAACGCGATATGCAGGCTTAAGTGCACACTGTGGTATATAACGATATACACACCGGGGTCTTCTAAGGAGAATATCTTTTTAATCCCGCCCCGTAGATATTCTCTTCTCGCGCCGCAGAATTGCTGGGTCTCCCTTATCAGCCTGATAACGTAATTAATTCCAACTTGGCATTTTAATAATTCCGGACTAGACTCTCTGTGCGAGATGATTTTTAACGAGAGATAAATCCGGCATCTCGATGACCGTCGGTGCACGCGACGAATCACGCGGTAGCGAATGACTGTACTTGCGAGGCGTATCACTTGCAATGCAAACATCAGATAGAGACGTGATTAATCCACACGCGACGTTTATGTGTTACGTGTCGCACACGTGTTGGTGTGAGATAAAAGGCTTTGCATGCGGTACAGTATCGATCCCGACATTTCTTACACGTTACCAGGGCATCGGCAATGCTTAAATCGCGAGAGCACCGCGCTAATTCACGGGCGACAATTACGGCAAATTGTAATGAAATTGCACAACGCACGCTATACTCTGCTCTGACGACTTTTCCGCTCGTTCCGCTCACGTTCCGCTCTTTCAGACAGACAGAGGAAGAAAGGAAATATTAATAAATTATTGTTATAATCTTTTCGCAGGACTAATCTCTTTATCACACTACATATAATTCATAATCTTTCAATGGAATAATCTTACCATCGAAAGAGTAGCAGATTGAAAATTAAAGAGGATTTCAGAGAAAATGTTTTATCGGGCTTAATTAAAGCGGGAATATTTTAACGAGTGCATCCAGTGGCACGGCAAAACGTCAAGATTCAAGAGGTCGTGTAGCAGCTTTTAATTTCGTCAACGCTTTTTGCGCTCGAGCGTTCTTTCCTAGCTTTTACGAGGGCCGGGGATCTTCCGCGAACGGATTTCATTAACGTAAGCATTTCTGCCTTGTACGAAAAACACAGGGCGGCGAAATGAACACCGGAGATATCATTCGTTACTCCGCGCGGGTCGCTGCTCTTCGTGTAGAACTCGTTGTGTCGCTCGCGAAAGTCTTACACGCCCGCTGAAACAAAATGCGCGTGATGTACTTAATTGCTGGAATTTCGCTAAGCGAGAGAGAGAGAGAGAGAGAGAGAGAGAGAGAGAGAGACAGTACTTAC